CAGGGATCCAGGGGCAGCCACAGCTTCTCTGGGCAACCTGTGCCAGGGCCTCCCCACCCTCCCAGCCAGCAATTCCTTCCCACTATCCCACCTAACCCTGCCCTCTGGCAGTGGGAAGCCATTCCTCTGTCCATGGCCTCTCACAGTCTCCCAAGCCCAGCTGAAGCCCCACATCCCTTCCCAATCCCCTGTCCCTGAGCAGCTCTGATGCCACTGGATCCCAGGCCCTGGTAGCCAGTTTTTTTCAGCCAGACTACAGAAGGCCACCCATGTGATTTTTGGATCAGGAAAGCAACTCCTACTATTGCCAACCAGCTGTAACCCCCTCCCACACCATCCCCAGTGTCTCTGAGGGCTCGCAGGGAGTTGGGCTCTCACGGGGGTATTTCCCAACCCCATGTGCAGACGGGAGCACCTGGGCTTTGTCTCTCCACAGGATGCCCTGGAGCATCCCAGCTCCTGATTAAATCAAAGGCCAGCTTGGATTCTGTCTCAAAACTTTTCTGTAGATCTTGGTGTTCGGCTGCTGAGCAGAGCCCATCACAAATTATTAATGAGTGAGTTCCATCTCCCTGTGCCCCTTTATTAGGCTGCTCAGCAGAGCCAAACCTTCAAAGTCCAGAGAGTGAAAGGATTGAGAAGCAGTGGGTTATTGAGAGAGGTGTGTAAATCCTGCCATTAATAATGGTTTAAAGGCAGGGAGTGTACACAGGGATAATTCCTCAGGCAGAGCCAGGAGTAGTCCAGACAATGGCAACAGCATCTCTAATTAAAGGATGAGTCAGTGATTAATTAAACTTCTTTTAGAAAGAAAGTAGACACAAAATCCCCCCCTTCTGGAGACTTGCAGGCCATGCACGGGGCACAGGGAGGGGGACTCCCCTCCCTGGAGCTGCTCCAGCCCAAACTACCTCCAGGCCACCATTCCCACTGTTATTGTCCGTGCCTCCCTCTGTAAACACAATCCATGGAATTTGATGCTGGTTTGGATTTACCAGTGACAATTTACTGCCAGGCTCTCTTTAAATCCTGTCCCTTGGTGACATGCTCACCTCCACATCCCCCAGGAGAGGTTTCCCTGCTGCTCCAGCAGTGCCCAGTTGTTCATTGCTCTGATCTCCTCAGGAAGCGCTGTCGGCACCGAGGGGCTGATCCAGGACTGTCCATCCTCTCCTGGCAACAAAGCAGGGACAAATCATTTGTCTCTTCCCAGCATTCAACCAAACTGGTGCTTTTCCAGTGTTCCCTTTCACAGGCTGAAGACTCTCCCTGGGCCAGTGGAAGGTGTCCCGCCCATGGCAGGGGCTGGAGCTGGAGGGGCTTGAATGTCCCTTCCAACCCAACCCACCCTGTGATTCTGTGACAATTCAGTCCCCTCCTGATGTCCATGTGTTGTACATCTCACCCATCATCACCTGATTCCCAAGTGCAGGGACACCTCCCACTAGAGCAGGATGCTCCAGGACTCCTCCAGCCTGGCCCCCCCTCTCCCAGTTCCCGGTGCCAGTGCCGTGCCCACCCGGCTCTCCCAGCAGGGCTCAGGCTGGTTTGGCTCCACGGATGGAAAGTTCACCCTGACTTGCCCAAGGCAGAAATATGGTGATGGCCTCAGTCGTTCCAAATGTCACGTTTTTTCCCTGTGTTTCAGCACAAACCACCCTGACATTTCAAATCCCTGCTCGGATTTCAATGAGGGGTCACTCAGTGCTTCCCACCTGTTATCCCTGCAGTGCTTCCCACCTGTTATCCCTGCAAAGTCCATAAACGCTGCGAAACGAAGGAGCTGCCTTCCTGGGAAATTCAGATGCCACTGATCAAATGAGTATCTGACCCCACCCTGCAGAAGTGGTGAGCTCTAAATGCAGATTGCAGGTGAGCTGTGTTTTAGGAGCAGGTCCGGGGGAGCAGCACGGTGTGTGCCCTGCTCACAGAGCGTGGGGCTGGTTGGGATCCAAACCTCTGGTTTTGCTGGTTTTCTCTGGTTCAAATTCTAAATACAAGTGGTTCATTAAATGCTTTTTAAATTCATTTATGCAGCAACCACCTGACACTCAGGTAGTGCACTAGGAAGGCTGTATTTTATATGTATATGTAAGATTGGGAATTTTATTATAATTCTAGAGAACTGTAAATTTGCAAGCAAGAAGAAGCAGGTTCATAGTTACAAAAGGGGTAGAATTGGTTATATATCACTGAAAAAAAAAGATCAGCTTCCCCTGGAGTATCCACAGGGATCACTCCAGCTGGGGGCTCAGTCCAACACTGGATTTGCCCCCTGCTCCATCAGCTCAGTGCCACTGGGCCACTGGCCAGTTCTCAGAACAAGGTGGTTAAATAAGTCAGAGACACCAATTTATTCAATCAAATCAGTGCTCAGATTTGGGAAATCTTATTTTCCTCTGTACCCCCAGCTTTGCACTGACATGGTTTGTGTTGGTGTCAGTGGGAGGAATCAAGTCAAGCAGTCAGGGAAAGAATCACAGAATTCCAGACTGGTTTGGGTGGGAAGGGACCTCAAAGCCCATCCAGTGCCACCCCTGCCATGGGCAGGGACACCTTCCACTG